AGCCATGCTTGTTCTCAGGTAAGCTACATCTCCGTGATCCCTAGGCAAAAGCTTGACGGCCTTGTCGTACCTTAGCATCGCGCCTTCGTTGTCACGTTTCTGGAACAATTTGTTTCCTTCTTCTTTGAGCTCTGTTGCTCGATTGATGAATATCTCCATATCTTCGTCGAATGCTGATTTCGAGGAGGAACGATCGAAGCTTTTTCCCCTTCTATTACTTCCGCCGCCCGGAGAATCCGTCGGAGTCCGGGGATTCTTCTTCTTCCCCGTCGGTTTTCCCATTGACAGTCAAGATTAATATTCCGGAGAAATGCACAAAAGGAAGATCGAAAATGCAAGCAAACAGACGTTTCTGACAAATTGGTTCGATTCGAATCGAGCGAGAAAGAGAGAGAGGGATAAGAGATGAATGTCTTTGGATTGAGTGATCTCTAATCCACGAATTAATTAGAAGAAAGAAGAAGAAGTGTGTTTAACAATTTACGGACAATTTTGTTCAGAAAGGTCATCAATTATATGTATTTACAACAAAGAAAGATTAATATGATCAAATAAGTCAAATTAAGTCTTACTCTCACTTGTCATCAATAAATTGATTTATTTTTTGTTAAACAAGGTAAAAGATATGAACGAATAAGTCATATTCTCTATCAATGTAACTTATATTTTATGTTGCATGGAAATTCTGTTAAAAGTGCGTTTCTCGTTTCGGAAACGAAAATGCGAGAAAACACGTTTTTAAAAAATCTTGATTTAGAAACACCGTGAAAACTTGAGTTTCCGGTTTGGAAACGTGAGTATCTATTTTGGAAATGGTCTCGGAAATCTTTTGTAATATAAAAAATATATAGCTCAAACATATAGACATATATTTGCTACTTTAGTAACTTAACAACTTAATTATTTTTGAATGAATGTAAAATTTATTCAAAAAAAAACGTTTTTACAATAAATATAACAGAGCTTTTGAGTTTATGAAGAATATCGCCAGACTATTTAATCAAACTAATCAATGATTTCAAAACCATATCTAGAAACCCTCCTCATAGCGAGTATTCATTAGTCTTCGGATTGTTGTAAGCCGATTTTGCACCTGTTTCTCAATCATCTGTGCCATCTTTTGTGGAATAGTAGAAGGTTCCCCATGTTTCCTGCCATTTATTTCCTGCCCGACATAATGTATTGTGGCCTGAAAAACATACTTAAGGAGGAATAAGGAAGTCTTTGCTTTTTTTTTTTGATAAAATGTAAATTATATTAGCAAAGCAACGTTTTAATTACAAAAGCTTAACAGCAGATGGCTTTTCTGGCAAAAAAAAAACAAAAACCAGGGAGAAGCACAATTTAAGCAGGGTCAACTAATCTAACTTAGCTATTAGTTAACCAACTAGCAAGAAGAGAGGCACATCCTTTTTCTTTTCTTCTTGCAAGGAGGATGTTACGAATAGTTCGATCAATCTGGGGGAAGAGAGTGGTCGCTGGAAGGGGCACTCCATCGTGAACTCTGCTGTTTCGCTCCTTCCAAATCCAGTAAATCGTGGCTTGGCAAATAAGTTTTCTCAACATCTGTTCTTCACTGAAGCTACTACTAGAGAGTAACCAATGAATGATTGAGTTCCAACCATGAAGGATTGTGGCTGGAGTCCCTAGTCTGTGCATAATTTTGCGCCAGATGGCGGAAGAGTAATCACAATGGAGAAACAGGTGCTCTCTGGTTTCGGCATGGGTAGAGCAAAGGGTGCAGGTGAGGTTTGTAGTGAGACCCCATTTTGCTAGTCTTGTCTTCAGCGGGAGCCTGTCGAGATTGGCGGACCAGAAGTTGAAAGCATGTTTAGGGATGTGATATTTGAACCAGACCGCTTTTGCCCAATGTTTAATATCACCCTTTGGTCTCATTACTTTCCAAGTTGACTCTGTTGAGAAGAAGTTAGCTTTCTTGTCCTTGGGACCCCACATGAAAGTATCCTCTTCTTCAACAACCTCCAACGAGCTAAGGGTATTCCGCAGCGCCAGGATATTCACATTTCTTGTCCGAGATGGAGTGCGCCAATCCCTACTTTGGATTGCTTCAGCAACTGTCACCTGAGCTGGTAGTCCTAGTTGACGTGGACCGCTTTCTCCAATAAAGTTGATAAGCGGGCCATGCGGAGACCAATCATCGTACCAGAAGCTTGCACGTTTGCCGTCACCAATCGAACAACTTAGAAGAGAGCTCACCAAGGGCTTTAGGGATAATAGCAGTTTCCAAATCCAAGAATCAGCATTAGATGCTGCAATAGTCCAGTAGTTTAGACGCTTCAGTTTGTGCTCCCGCATCCAGGCAACCCAGAGGGAATCACGCGAGGAGAATAAGAGCCAGACGAGCTTAAGGTTCAGGACTTTGTTCCAAACAGCAAAATTTCTGAGACCTAGTCCCCCTTCTGCTTTTGGTAAACAAATCCCTTTCCAGGATACTTTCGCTGCGGCTCGCTTTGTGTAGTCGCCTGCCCAAAGGAAACGATTACACAGCTGCTCAATATCGCGGACACACCCCTTTGGAAGAGAGAAAGCACTGAACCAGAAGTTGAGGAGGCTGTAAATAACGGAGGATATGAGCTGGAGTCGTCCAGCAAAGGAGAGGCATTTCACCGTCCAATGGTTGAACTTTGCCTTAATCTTATCCGTGAGGGGAGAGTAATCCGATTTTCTGAGCTTCCGATGGAGCAGAGGCAGGCCAAGATAGCGAAAGGGCATAGAACCCCTTCGGAAGCCGAAGCTGTCAAGAGCTGCAGTTTTCTCGAGGTTCAAGCCAGCTACATAGAGGTCCGTTTTATCCCTGTTCATAGAGAGGCCCGAGATGACGTGAAAAGATTCCAGGCTTGCGGAGATTTCTTGGAGAGAGGAGCCTTTTCCATCGAAAAGAATAACAATATCATCAGCAAAAGCCAAGTGCGTTACCTTCGGATTTCTACCGAGGGGATGAAAACCAATTCTTCCTGCCTCAAAATAAGAGTTTAAGAGGTTTGAGTAGGCTTCCATCGCCAAGACGAATAAAGCAGGGGAGAGGGGATCCCCTTGCCTTAACCCTCTAGTGCCTTTGAAGAAGCCACACAATTCCCCATTCACGTTAATGGAAAAGGAGGTAGTAGTCAAACATTGAGAAATCCATGACTGAAAGACCGGTGGGAAGTCAGCAGCTTCCAAAATCTGAAGAATAAAATCCCAGTTCAGCGAGTCAAAAGCCTTCCTCAAATCCACCTTTAATAGCCCTCGTTTTGAAACATTCCTGCGGTTGAAGCCCTGTACCATCTCTGTTGCAAGAAGAACATTTTCCACCAGAAGCCTTCCTCGGACAAAAGCAGATTGGTTGTTTGAGACCATTAGAGGGGTTACTGCTTCGAGTCGGCGAGCCAGAATCTTGGAGATAATCTTATAAACAACGTTACACAGAGAAATGGGCCTGAAATCAGCCAATTTATCGGCACCAATAGTCTTTGGTATAAGAGTAATTGCTGTGCAATTCCACTGTTTAAGGAGTTGTCCTGATCGAAAGAACTCCATTACCGCGTTAGTGAGATCCTCCCCAACGATGTCCCAAGTCTTTTTAAAGAACTCGCCTGTATACCCATCTGGTCCCGGTGTTTTGTTGGGAGGGAGGGCAAAAACTTCTCGTTTAATATCTGCTGCAGTAATCGGGGCCTGAAGAAGGGCTTTGGTGCTGGCATCACAGCGGAAGTGGGTCAGGGAGGTAACCTGGGCCAACTGATCGCCTGAGAGCGAAGGCACTGAAGCACCAAATAAAGCTTTGAAGTAGTGAACACAGTGAGCTTTGACCTCGGTCATATTGGTCAGACGCGTCCCTGCAGCGTTGATGAGATAGTGAATTTGGTTTCCAGAGCGTCTAGAAGCCACTGTCCGATGAAAGAAAGCCGTATTCGAATCGCCACTCTCTAACCAACTGATTCTTGCGCGTTGAAGGAGGAACCTCTCTTCAGCTAGGGCAAGATTCAACCACCTTTGATGCGCTTTTTTCTCCTGCGACGCACGGGATGGGCTCGGTCTGTCAAGAAGGCGAGCTTGGCAAAAAGTAAGTGTCGTATGGGCCTCCTTAACTCTATGCTCCAAATCAGAGTAGTGCTCTCTGTTTATGTCTTTGATCTCCCTTTTGAGCAACTTCAACTTTTTTGAGAAGGCAAACATAGCTGAACCAGGGCAGCGCATCTCACCCCAACTGATTGCAACTCTTGGCAGAAAATCTAAATGATGGAAGAGGAAATGGGAAACCATGAAGTGCTTCTTTGCTGAGACCCTACCGCCTACAACAATGCAACCTGGGCTGTGGTCCGAGAAGTATGGTTCTCCGAAGTGAGCAAAAGATAAAGGGAACTCATCTTGCCAGAGATCATTTACCAGTACTCGGTCTAGCTTCTTTGCTATAGGGGAAGATTCCTGTTTGTTCCACCAGGTGAATTCATTTCCTCTAATGGTGAGGTCAGACAAACCAGCAAAGTCGAGACAAGCTCTGAGATCTGCCATACCTCTAGAGATTCTTGTGCCCTCTGTTGATTTTTCCCCTGGATTTAGGATTTGATTGAAGTCTCCCATTACAGCCCAGGGTTTTCCAGACAAGATTGTGTTTGCAGAAAGACTGTTTATCTCATCCCAGAGTTGTAGTCTTCCATACTTACAGTTGAGAGCATAAACGTATGAGATGCAGACCTGGACTTGAGAGCGGGGGAGCTCAATGATGCAAGTAATCATTTGACTGGACTTAGAGTGAATGGTCACCTTTATGAAGGGGTCCCAGACGACCCAAATTCTGCCGAGCTCTGCAAATTCATAATTCGAGGCAGAGTTCCATCCTGGAAACGTAGACTGAATGATCCTCTGAGCGTTGTGAATCTTCACTCTTGTCTCTATAATACTACCATATAACGGCTTGGTCTGCCGTAGCCATTTCTTGAGATTACTACTCTTTAATTTACTGTTAAAGCCTCTCACATTCCAACAGAATGAGTCCACTAACATAAATAACGGCTGGGGTTGTATTTGGGGTGAATCCCCGAGGACTTTTTCTCGTGGCGAAGCTTCTTCCGGGATACAACTTTGATAAACTGTGGATCAACGACCGGGTTATCCTCTTCCTCTGATGGGCTTTCAGAGGATGATGAGTTCTCAAGGGGTTCGACATCAGATGGAATAGCGTCGGATTCCGAGGAGGAAGGCTGAGAGGTAATGCAGTTAGAGATTTTCTTAGGCAGTTTCTCTAGTTTCCTTCCTGTTTTTGGAGTGATCGGTTCCTTCTCGCGTGATTCGGAAGTGATTTTTCCCTTCTTCTTTTCGAGTCTAACAGGAGGAGCAGTCTCTGAAGTGAAAAGGGGGCCTTCTTTGACAGAGAGTTTTCCTTTGCTTTTGTTCTGCTTTTTAAGCGGCCGTTCTGCCATCACCGGTTGGTCTGATCTCTCCTCCGAAGTTTCAGAGTGCTTCTTCTTTACTCGAGGACAATTTTCGGTGATATGGGCAGAGGAGTTGCAAACATTGCAGGTGACAGGGGCCGTGGGGCATCGCCTGATGCTGTGCCCTACTTGTTGACAGTGGTTACATATCGGAGGGAGCCACGGACAAGAAACCTCGACCCTGTGAACTTCACCAGAGTCAAATTGAACATTTACGGCTTCTGGAATTGGCGCCGAAGGATCGATTATGGTGAAAACCTTTGCCACATCTATGTTAGTCATATTGAGAGTTGAGGGATGGCAATAGACAGGGTGTCCTAGAGCTCCAGCGACATGCTCAAGCCCATCTTCGGAGAAGAAATGAGGGGGTACTCCTCTGAATTCCAGCCAAACCGGAACTTCCGTCAGCTCCGGCATGGAAGGGGATAAACCGGGTTCCCACTTTGCAACAAACATCGTTTGCCCTTCTATGTGCCAAATTCCCTGCTGTAGAACTCTCTGTCTTGTAGCGGGGCAAGGTATGCGGATAAGGACCGATTTCGGGCCTAATTTCGAAGCAGTGATATTCCTGGCTTTGTTGCTCCAGATACCATTGAGGATGGCATGAAGAGCTCCACGAGAGGGAAGGTTACCATGAAACTGTCCAATGATGAAGGATTCCCAACGATTCTGGTTTCGTTGGATGACATCATTTGGTATCTTCACACAGATTTCGCCCGACTCCAGCAAGAAAGGAGATCCTTTTTTCTTCATGGTTGCTTTGGGTCCTCTGAATAGATCGATCCAAGCAGGTTTTGAAGACTTTGATTTCGTTTCTGGTGGTGTTGAGGAAAGATTTTCGATAATCTGGGTATGAGACCCAGAGTCAGAGACTGCGTCTGAGATGGCGGGTTTGGAGTTTCGAGGACTCGAGGGGGCGGAGGAGCCTGCTGAGGGGTCCTTTCTGAGGATTTGGTGAGGGCTCAGCTGCGAGGTTGAAAGCTCATGTGTGACGGACAATTGGGAAGAAGGGGCTGGTGGAGGGGGCTGGGGATTTTGCAAGCCCGCAATCGCCGAAGTGGGGTTGATCGGAAGAAGAGCAGGAAGGGGAGGCTTTTTTCTCTTTGCCATCGGAGGCAGAAATTGGGTTGCCGCTGCCGAGATCGGCGACGGCGGCTTGGAAGGAAGGGTTGCTTTTTCGCCCTTTTGGAAGAGAGAAAAAGACTTTTTATGTCATTTTTCGGGGCTCTATATCTTCTTTAAGGAAGTCTTTGCTTGTGACTCATCCAACAACAGATCAAGAATGTTCTCCCATCGTGTTGTGAATCTCAAGCCAAGCATTTGACTGGTGAGTTTACGCTCTCGAGATGATGTAGCATGATATTTGGAATTCTAAATATGTTAAATATCTTTATTATTTATTTATTTGTATGTTTAGATAATTATTATTTATTATTTTAGAGGTTTTTAAAATATTTTAAAGATTTGAGAGTTTATTATAAATAAGCCGTTTAGGTATTCATTGTCGGGAGAACGGCCAATTCGTACCCCCACTCTGAACAGTGTAGCGATTTAGCACCTGCATTATTTTGGTGTGCGAACTAATACCCAAACTTCTAAATATTTGAATATAAGTACCTCCACTTTTTCCCACCAGCCAAAACCAACTTTGACTACCATCCCATTAGTCAACATTCCGGACTCCGTTAACGGTGATGACGAAGCTGCCAACTCCGTGCACCCGTGGAACAGTAGCGAAGACGACGTCGTTTTATATTGGGTTAAGATTTGGGCTTTGTCATTTGGTTGGGCTTGGGCTGTGACATTTGCATTTTGGGCAATGTAAACCCACACTAGACGACGCCGTTTTTGCAAATGAAGCTAAAAAAATTTGTATCTTCTTCTTCGTGTTCTTCGTCGAGCTCGAGTTTTCAGAATTGGGGAAGAACAAACTTAGGGCTCGAAGAGAAACTGAACGAATGGCGACTTCATCAAATGAAAATGCATCATCCCGCTATTCAGGTAAGATTATGGTGTGGATTTGGTTGTATGAATGTGAATTATTATAAATTTTTGTTTTAAATTGATTGAGAAAAATTAGGAAAATTGACAGGATTTAGTGCAAGTTGGAGTCGTGGTGTTACTTTAGGATCTAGAGGGATGCCCAACGTTTGTAGGTGTGGAGAATCATCCATAATAAAAACATCAGCAACCAATAAAAATCTAGGGAGATTATTCTATTGCTGTCCGATGGGATCCGAAAATGTAAGAATTAGTTCAACTTAGTAGTATGATTTGGTGTTATTGGAATAGACTTTTAAGAACAATAACTGATTTAAGATTTTATGTTATGTAAGGACAAGTACCATTTGTTCAAATGGACCGATGAAGCAATTGTAGAGGAGATTGAAGAGATGAAAAAAATGTTTGTGAAGTCGGAAGTGGAGACAAAAACTTGTGAAGAAGTGGTAAATGGCTTTGAGAAAGAGATAGAAGACATGAAAAACATTGTTCATGGAATTGAAAAAAAGATGGAAGCAATGAAATCTGAGGTTGAAGCGCATGAGAAAGGAGTGAAGGATATGAAAGAAGAGATTAAATTCTTGAAGAAAATGGTCATGACTGGAGCTGCAATTGCTTGTTACTATTGGTTATGGGCATAACTCTTTGTAGGATCAATGAGTGCTTGAGAGTGTTTGATGGAAAATGTAGGATTTGATGTTCTTGTTTGAGTTCATGGATTAGTATTTTGAATGTTGGATTTTAGTTTCTCTTCTTTGATAGTATGTAACTTTGGATTTGTATTTGGAATGGTAATTTGAATGTTGGAATTTTTAGTTCTTGTGTTACAATAATATTGAAACCAAATGTGGATGTGCAATTGCCTAAGATTTGTGTTTCATACAACCAAAATGAACCCCATAACCTGTGTTTCATACAACCAAAATGAACAAAATAACATGTGTTTCATAAAACCAAAATAACTTGTTTTATACAACCAAGTTCAGGAAAACAAAAAGCAAACTAAATTCTAACAATTGAGTTTCATACAACTAATATGAAGAGAACAAAATGCCCCAAGAAAGCTGATTAAACATCAAAACAAAGAGCTCAAAACACCAGATAATAACTAATTGAACACAAAAATGTGGAGCTCAAAACGCCAAAAACTTCCCTCCTCTCTTGCATATAAGCCAAACCTGCAAAATAAACAGTAAACCACTTTAAACAAACATCATCTTGTGTTTTGAGAAACACATATAAACCAAACAATCATCAACGCATATATATCCGATAATGTACCTAATTCTAACCATCTTAAACATTCATCATCAAACAAGAATCAACACAATGTAAGAACATTCTATGAAAGTACCTAATCATCAAATGTTGGTTATGTTGGTTGTGTTGGTTGAGTAAGACTTGGCCCATCATCAAGTGTCACGGATACAGCCTCTTCTTCATCAGTTTTTTGCTTTTTTGGTGGCCTAGGCTTACATGGGACTCCATCATAAGGACATTTCAATGAGTTATGTCCAGCAAAACTGCATCTGCTACAATGCATTGTGCGGCCATGTTGAGTGACTTTTTTCCCCTTCGTTGGTGACTTGTTTACACCCTTGATCCTCTTCTCTGGATTTTTTTTTCCGACCCTTATGCACCTCTCTTTCTGGTGCAACAAGTGTTGTTTCTCCACTGTTTTTCCAGAACTTAATCCCATTGACAGGTTCAATGGAATCGATGTACTGCGCTTGCCACTTACTTGTCAGATACCAATCCGAAACCAAATCTTCTGTTTTATATGTCTTCTTGTTGTCGAAGACAACACGCAACACATGGCGGCATGGTATCCCTGTCAAGTCCCATCTCCTACACTTACATGTACTCTCCTTCATATTCACCGTGTAACTTTGACCCCTCTCACTAACTTCAAAGATGCCTGAACGTCCAGGGATTGTCCTCAGATGTTTCACTTCTTTTTCCTCTTCAGCGATCATTAAGCCAACTTTGGGAGTGTGTTTACTCTTATGCTTCCCTGTTTTCGTTCTTCTTAGAGCAATCTGCACCATCGCTTGTCTCCTCATTGTCTCCAAGCTTTGAATCAATGGCATTGCACGTGCCTTGTCAATTGCCTTATTGTATGACTCTGAAAAATTATTCAGAGCATCTTCACAGCATGATGTTGTCTTGAAGTATGCCAGGCTACAATTCTCTGGGTTTCTACTCATGAAGGCTTCAAAGACGTCACTATCATACATCTTCATCTTCTCCAAACTTGCTTCATGATCAGCCATGTTGAAACTCTCCATAACTTGCCAAAACAGCCCTTTCATCCGAGGCTTTTTAGGATATTCCCTCTTCATATTTCCGTAAATGTGTCTTGCACACATTCGGTGTTCGATTTGTGGTAACTCTTGATTCACAGCAATAAGTAATCCCTGCATAATTACACAAAAAAACTTGTTAACACTAAAGTATATATTGAGTATAAGAGTGAATTTTGAAATCAATCTCACCTTCTGCCTATCAGATATGAGAGTAAATCCATCGCCATTTCCTAGATCTAAGTCTTTCTTGAGATGCTTAATGAACCAAATCCAGCTGTCCCTGTTCTCTACTGGAACAACAGCCCAAGCAAAATGGTATATTTGATTGTTCGCATCTCTCCCAACAGCTGCCAAAAGTTGGCCTTTCTCGTTACTCTTCAAGAAACACCTATCAATCCCAAAGATTGGTCGACAATGCTCTTTCCATGTCTCGCGCAGACCAGCAAAACACATATAGAAGCTATCAAACACTTCTTTCCCATTATCACTGATGTCATTGCATATTGCATACATTTTGCATACTCATTAGTTAGCTTTTCATGCATTTGTATCACGTTTTAGGTTAGATTGCATCACTTAGGGTCCTAGAGCATTCTTGCATCAGCATACGTATTTTCCTTGCATTTTGCATCACATTCAGGTTGTTTCTGGCTGCTTTGGAGTCGTGGAGGTTCGTGGACA